TATATATATTGTTTATATAGATTTCTGTCCCCCTTTTTCTCAAGAGAAAGATATGAATTCCTGTAAATCATTAATTAGTTTTGTTTTCTCTCTCTTTTTTCACCAGATAAATCCAGTCTCTCWGTCCACCTACAAACCCCCACGTTTGATACCAAACGAAGCTATAGGAACTGGTGCTAATAGATATGTTTACTATGTATGCAGCGAACCAGGTCTTCCCTGGGTGAAACTCCCTTCAGTTAGCCCAGCTCAGATCTCTGCTGCTCGGCAGATCCGCAAGTTCTTCACTGGAAGGCTGGACAACCCRATTCAGACCTACCCTCCTTTCCCTGGGAACGAGGCCAACTACCTGAGAGCGCAGATTGCTCGCATCTCTGCGGGGACGCATGTCAGCCCTCGGGGTTTCTACCAGTTTGAGGAGGAAAATGAGGAAGATGAGTTCTCCCAGATCCAGTGTGAAGTAAATCCTGACTTTGAGGGCATTGCAGTCGATGAAATGGCTACATCTTTGTCCTCATGGGTGCATCATGTTCCACATATCCTAAAGCAGGTACACTACGACTGTGTGGTTTGTGAGAACGTTCTCAGGTTTTCTACACATATATGCTCTGTGAATCTCGACTGCAGGGACGCTGTGTCTGGGTGAATATGGCTGTGAAACCAGAAGAAGACTCAGATGAGGATGAAGAGGCTGATGAGGAGGATGAAGAGGAGCTTGATGAGCTGGAACCAGAGGATGGACCTCCCCTGCTCACTCCTCTCTCTGAGGATGCAGGTCAGAAGCTGTTTAACATCTTTAGGTTACAGTTATATGATGACCACTGTCTGAAACTGTCAAAGTAATATGTGTTTTATTTGGACATTCAAGGGTTTTATATCAGGGTAGGAGACTTTTTTCTGCTACACTTTCAAATTTCTAACTTTCATCCATCTTTCTTGTCCATCCATCCATCCATGGGGAGTTGTTGTTTGTCTCCGGACAGGGTACACCCTGGAAAGTTAGCAAGTCTTTTAATGGACAGAAAAAGACAAACAAGGAACACAGCTTGCCTACKTTTTTATAATCCATCCATCCATTATCTATACCCACTTTTTCCTTTCAGGGTCACTGGTGTCCATAACTAGCAGTCACAGTGCGAGGGGCGGGGTACACCTGGACAGGTCTCCAGTCCATCACAGGGACACATAGAGACGAACGAGACAAAGAATCATTCACTCTCTTACTCACACCTAGGGACAATTTATGGTTATCAGTTGTAGGAGTTTTGGGTATATTCTAAAAATGGATAATTTGTGAATATATTTAAATATATTATATTTAAATATATTTTCCTCGAGGCACCACGTTCTTTAATTCGATCAAGGATTGACCCAGGAAAGAGACGAAAAACTGTAACTTTATTGTAATCAGTCTCACAATAAATTGTACCCAAAATGATTTTATGAGTTCTTGTCTTATCAGAACCAATAATATCTCCTTTCAAGACACAAAAATGAGATTAGCTTATGTTGGTACGTTCTCCACGAGCCATTTATTTACAGATTGAATGCATTTACAACTATGTCGAGTGATGAATGAATGATTACATGTTGAACCAAGTAAAAACTGAAAGAGTTTGCATCACGAGTGAATAAACAAACAGACAGACAAATAAACAAACAAACAGATAAACATAAAATAAACACTGAGAAGTGAGT